GTCTGTTTCAGGCGCCCTCTTTTTTTAGTATATAAGTCCAGCTAATAAAACGGAGATAGATAGAGAAATAGGTATAAAAACAGATAATTGAGTCAAGCGAGCGGTAGTGACGGTAATATATAGTGTGTGTTTTGTTATCTAGATTGCAAACATATTGACTGTGGAAATTCTGTGTATTGCAAAGTTGTATCGAGAAAGAATAAACTAGTTTCAATTAAGAAAGAAATTATATCGCTGAAGTTTCTCGGAAAGAATTTCTACGGGAAATTAACAAACAAGCAGATACGCAACAAATTGGTGTCAGAGAGTGGGAAGGAAAATAAATAAAAAGAAGAAGATGGAAGCGAGAGATAGCAAACTACATCTTAGCAGATTTGATGGCAGCAATACAAGAACAGCAAAAGAAACAAGAAGAGAGACAACAGCAGTGGCAAGAAAACCTGCAACAGTGGCAGCTCGAACAGCAAAATAAACAAGAAGAGAGATTACAACAGTTGTTGGAGGAAAAAGAAAATAAACAAGAAGAGAGGCTACAGCAGTAGTTGGAGGAGAAAGAAAATAAACAAGAAGAGAGACTACAGCAGTGGCAGGAAAACCAGTACCAGTGGCAACTGGAACAAGGAAAGAAACAGGAAGAAAGACTCTAACAGTTGAGAGAAAGCCAGCACACACAAATGGAAAAGATTAGTAAATTTCAAAGTGAATTAAATACATTAACGGATGATTTACTGTCTTTTACACAAGGAGGATATATTAGCCATGGACCTAATCAGCCCCAGACAATGGGAAGCCCCTTCCAGACTCCGCAGCTGAACCCTAATGCAGACATCTTCAGTCCTATCGGAAGTCACATTCCAGACATGAGTGTCAGCAATAGGGGTGATCTAGTACGAAGGAAGCCACAGGAATTCGATGGGAAGGCACCATGGGAAGCATATAGAGCACAATATGAGTTCTTGGCAGAAACGAATCGATGGACAGAGGAGCAGAAAGCAGTGTACTTGGCGAGCCTGAAGGGACAACCACTGGAAATACTTGGACAGTTGTCAGCAGACGACAGGCACAACTATAGAGTACTGGTAGGTGCTCTGGAACTCAGGTATGGAACTCAAAATCAGTCTGAAGTCTAAAGGGCTAGGTTTAGGACTAGAGTCAGTGCTAAAGGGGAGAGCCTGCAAGAGCTGGCACAGGCCTTGGAAAGTATGGCACACAAGATCAACCCAACTGCACCACCTGATGTCCTCAAGCTGTTGCTGAGGGATCAATTTGTAGATGGCTTGGACAGTCCACAACTGAAGATACAAGTAAAGCAAGCACACCCCTCTACTATGCAGGATGCAATGGTCAGAGCTCTTGATTTAGAATCCTGCATTAAGTTCAGCACAAAGGTACCAAGGTTGGTACAGTCATCAGGATTCAAGGCCAGAAAAGGGCAGCTTTCAGAGAGGTTTGAGGGACTTTGCTGGTACTGTAACAAACCTGGGCACAAGAAAGCTCAATGCAGGCAACTTCAACATAGGGAAGATGCCACGTCAGGAAAGGCTGCTACCCAAAGAGGTTGTTGGAACTGTGGAGAGCAAGGACATATGAGGAGCCAGTGTGAGAATAATATTACCAATAATTCAGCCTCGGGGAAACCAGTAGTGGTTGGTATTGATGGATGCCCACCAACCTCCACCGTGGAAGTCCCAACAGTTAGGTGTAAAATGCCAAGCACACATAGTTTCTATGTGACAGGAAAGCTGGATGGATTGTCATAGATACTGCATCTCAGCAAACCCTTGTAAGTATCAATATGCTAGATCACAAAGGAGTACCAGAAGCTATACAGAAGCTCTGCGGTGTGACAGGACACTATACAAGGTTGTGAGGACCAGTGTGGGTAACTATTGAGCTCATAGGCATGAAGTACAGACACAAAGTATACTTGGCTGACATTGAAGACCAATGCATATTAGGGTTGAACTACTTACTACCGAGGAAGTGTGTAGTTAATTTTGATAAAATGACGTTTGGGAACAACAAAGACCAAATTCCGATAAGTTTTGCTGCTTCTGTTGAATTGCATGTCACAGCACGTAAGTCAACTACAATACCCCTTATGTTAGAGAAGATAATTTGGGGTAGAATAAAAGACCATCCCCAAGGAAGCCCGATGCTTGTGGAAGCAGTGGAAGACCCATGCAGGCCAGCAGATGTGAAGATTGGAAGGTCACTTGTGGCAGGTCATCAAGTAGTACCCATAACAGTGGTTAATTTCTCTAAATGTGGGCAGACACTTAAGGAAGGGGAATTGTTGGGTGTGTGCCAGGAGGTAGAGTCAATCAGTGTTAAGGCAAAAAATACAACCATAAAGAAAGGACATCCACTGCCAGAACACATAACTGACCTGTATAAGAAGAGCATAGTCCATTTGTCATCATCACAGGCTCTTCAGGTTAGAGAACTCTTGGCGAATTATGTAGACATCTTTTCAAAAGGAGATCATGACCTTGGCTGCACAGACCTTGTGAAGTGCAGAATAAACACAGGCAATCACTGTCCAATAAAGATCCCTCTGAGAATAATAGCTACGGCAAAGTGACAAGAGATGGAGAAGGTAACTGATGGCCTACTTAAGGAAGGGATAGTCGAGAAATCAGATAGTCCCTGGTCAGCTTCCGCCGTGTTAGTCCAGAAGAAGAATGGGACACAACATTGCTGTGTGGACTTCAGGGCTCTTAACAAGTTAACTGAAAAGGACTCATACCCGCTGCCAAAAATTGTTGATACTCTCGATGCCCTAAGTGGAGCCAGGTGGTTTTCAACTCTAGACTTAAAGTCGGGTTTCCATCAAGTGAAAATGGCTGAAGCAGATACACCTAAGACTGCATTTAGTTATGGCAATACTGTGTGATGCCATTCGGTCTTAGCAATGCTCCAGCAACATTTGAGAGGCTGATGGAAAGAGTATGGAAGGTCTACAATGGAGAATAGCTCTAGTGTACATG